ACTACTTTGTATAACATAACATCAATGGCTAAGCTAGCTCTGCCAGGTCCTGTTATTTCTTTCCTGCTTCTGTTCTTCTTCTTGGGTACGGTAGAGATTCGTGGACTCTTAAGCTGCAAAGTTGATGTTTTTATTTTCATCAATGGCTAATTCATTCATCCACTCCTCCACAGTCCTTTAAAAACTTAATCTTGATTTTATTGAGTGTGACAACCACATCTTGCATGTTAATCCTCTCTTCGGGCGATTCTGCAGAACAAGCTAGCCCTAATCTCATAATGGATGATAAGCAATCCCTCCTGCTCACAATATCATGATCTTCCTTTGTCCCAAGCAAATCGGCATCCACAACTTCAACTATTGCAGCATATGGAAACAATGAATTTGCAATCCATTTCGTTAAATTCATTTCCCCAACAAACATCTCATATGTTGGCTTCCTTTTTGTGAATGTCTCTATCATTACAATACCAAAACTATACACATCCCCCTCTTGTTGAAACAATTCCTTCCATTCCAAACTCTGCAATATTATATACGTCAATTTAGTTATAAATGATGAAAATAAAATTAGAAGTTGAAAAGTAACCACAACAGTACAATTTTGATAAGATTTCGGTGATGAATATTGCTCAGCACTTCACATTCACTATCAAAACTCTTGGAAGCCCCTTCAAGCTGTAAATTGAAAACCTTTACAGCAACATCTATCCCATCTAAAATTGTACCTTTACATACTGAGCCAAAACCACCAGTGCCAAGTAAGTTGCTTTCATCAAATCCATTCGTCGCCCTCAGAAGTTCAAGGTGTGAAACTCTTCTCCAAAGAAGTCAAGGTAATAAAGCAGTCTCTGTTGCAACTTCCACTTTCCTTTTCCTGCGCAGTATGAACATTGATACAGAGGTCACCGGAATTATTGTTGATACGATCCCTGTAATAATATATTTCAAGTTGGATGTTCTAGCTTTCCTTGAATTTGGTTGAAGTGTACTATTTTGGCATGGTGGAACATGGAGTCGGGCTTCACCACATACCACCATTCGATACCTTTTAAATATAATATATTTACATCGTATAGCTGGGCGGCTATATTAAGGTTTCCTTTTTTAAAAAAAACGTATAGCCGCACGGCTACACCATTTTTACACGTGGGCTCCTAATAGCTTGGCGGATTTTTTTTATATATAAATAGTATAGCCGAACGGCTATACTCCGGTTTTTTTTAATTAAGAAAAAGGTATTACCGGGCGGCTATACTTGTTTTGACATGTAGACGCCTACTCGCTAGGCTGGTCTCTCTTTTTTTCCATAAGTAGTACAGCCGTTCGGCTATACTCCGTTTAAAAAAAAAAAATTATTTATTTACAAACCTGGGAGATTCCTAAGTCTTCCCACTGAGGTTGGAATTGAGCCAGTTAATTGATTGTTTCTCATAGCTAAGGCTATCAAGCTGCTTAAGTTGCCGATATAATCAGGAATCTTACCCCTCATGCTACAGTTTCTTAATTTCAGATATACAAGTGATGTGGAGAGATTCCCAAAGGAAACAGGAAGAGTGTCATTTAATGGATTATTTGACAAGGTCAATCTCTGCAAATTCGTAAGATTAGCCAAACAAGAAATGAAGTTTGCTTCTGGAGTTGAAGTATCAATGGTCAAATTATTTGTGTGCAAGCTAAGAATCTCAAGGTAAGGTTGTTAGGAATAAACAGTATAGCCGAACATTTCGCCGGCATAGACCTGTTCGGACGAAATGTCGTCGAGAGTGAGTTTTTATAAAAAATTAGTTTCTTCACTTCTTTTTTTGGCCTACTTCTTTAATTTAATATATGTAATTAGGTAATATCTTAGCCTGTCTGAATTACTTTAATTAGTAATTATATTTTAATTACGATTTAATGTAAAAAATTAAAGAAAAATTCCACAAAATAATTAATTTCTATTTATTAAGTTTTTTGTGAAATCGTTTGCGTGTATTACCGAGTCTCTATTTCCTCCTTTTGATTTTTTACTTTTCCAAAGTCGTTACCCGTATAAAGATTTTAGTACTTTCACGTTTAATAATGTATTTCTCAATTTTAATACACATGTTTTTGACAAAAAGTTCAATAAGACACACAAAATTCACACATATTATTGAATTAATATAATAAATATTTTTTTAACGGTATAGCCGAACGGCTATAATGAGTTTTCTTTTTTTTAAAAAAAATAGTATAGCCGTACGGCTATACCCGTTTTTAATTTTGTTCAAACAATAGTATCGCCGCCCGGCTATACTAGATTTGTTTGAAATTTTTTTAAGAAATAGCGTATACTCATTTTTTCTTAATTCTTTTTAAAAAATAGTGTAGCCGCCAGGCGTTACGATTTTGACACATGGCACCTAGGCACTGTGCTCATCCTTTTTTTATATATAGTATAGCCGTCGGTAGCCGCTCGGCTGTACAGTTTTTCTGTTTAATTTTTAAGTATAGCCGTTCGGCTATACGGCCGCACGGCTTTACCGTTAAATATATTTGTTTTGCAATGTCTTCTAGATTTATTTTTCATCGATTTTTCCTGTGCACCGAGCACTTGTCAAATTCCAAATGGCTGAGAGACATCACACGCGGTTTCCCAAACATGTGGTTTTGTGAAATTTACAACGTTGTAGCACGTGAAATTTGCCAAATTTAGAAAGTTCCTTAGACTTCTTCAAACTCCATGCATTATGTGTCACCCCACGATTGATGCTCCATGGTCATTTGCCAGCTACCACCTCCTATAATCTCGCGTTAATCACCATTATATATAGAGAACACTTCACCAATCTCTTCTCACAAGCCAAAAATCTCCAACTAAGATCGTTCATATTTGTGTTAATTACAATTATCTGAGTAATTAGAGCAGTAATATTATTATCTGATTAGAGAGATAATGATGGTGAAGGAGGTAAGCTACATGCACAACTGGGGGGAAGTTGCACCAACTCTGCTCCTAACCCACCAGAAATCTTCAAAGTGTCCAAAGCTGGAAACCATTGTTGAAGAAGGACCAGGAAATATTATGGGGTCTCAAATTAGCATTGAAGTTGCACCGATTCCGAAGAGGGCCTTGTTTCTTCTTCCTGTGTTTGTTTCTTTTGTTTCTTATTTCTTGTTGTACAGACAATAGACCAATTACCAGATGTAGGCGAATTGGAAAGGAAACTGTACATGAAATAGTTTGAAAGATCGAGGGTAGATTCGTCTCTAAAGACATATATATGAACAGTGTATATGCTCATGGCATTCTAATTGGAAAATCAATGGCAGGTTCTTCGAATTCTATTGGCCTTTTGCATAGTTATTTTAAGTTTAGAGTTTCACTGGTATTTATACGTTGACTCTTGGCCTGTTTAACAATATACGTTTCTTCGTTTTTATTATTATTTTTAATACAAACGATATTTTACTTTAATATAATCTAAACTATGAGGAGGGGGGTTTGAACTCGAATACAGAGTAGGAAGCATATATGCTGCCAACTTAGCTAAGCTCGTGTCTTCTTTGTTTTTGGTGGTTGGTTTTCTCTGTTTTCTGAATTATAGGTGGAGAAGGAAAATATAATTTATAAATGAGAATGGAGGTGAGAGATATGAAAGGAATGGTTTTTGTTTTCATCAATCACCTGTTCTGGTTAATATGTGATGTTGCTCTAGTTACTAAATTCGAATTCATATCAAATCAAGCATTTTGTAAAAGCCTTGCTGAAATCAGAATTAGCTTCATCTTTTCCATCACAACTTCTTTTCTCTTTTCTTTTCATTTCTCCCTACCAAATCATAAAAACTTCGGGTAACCGTGGAAATAGGAAATAGGAAAACCTCAGTTCTCCACAATTTTCTTCAACTTCGACCCCATTTAGGTTATAAAATGGTCATCTAGAGATTCAACGTTAGGTTTCAAATATCAAAGCCTAAAATTTGTTACTTAAAATCAATCAAAGCGATTAACCAATTTAAGATTATAAATTTAGAGTGCGCTTTAAAACCATGCAATAAATGGGATCAAATTTGAAAAAAATTGAGTAAAAATGTGTTCTCTCAACGCGTCATGTCTCAGAATAAATGTTCATCTAATATATATGTTCTCTTTATTTATTCACCTAATTTCATATTCTTCTTCCGAGGGAGCTTAATTTGTGTCCGGCGTTTATTTGTCCTTTCATATATAATTTTTTCAACCTCTATGTACCAAGTCTATTGGTATATGAACCTCACCACGGCCGTTTATGATCGGACACCGGAAATATTTTGAAGGATCATATAATTTCGTTATACATGTAGAGAGAGAAGAGAAGATATGGTACCTTGTGAAAAGCCAATTAATTATATCAATTAATGGCACTAGTACAAAAAGTTCATAGGCTACAAATTCCACCTCACATTGTAACATTGTTTTTAGGTTTTTTTTCTCCTAACACACACATTGATTACCTTGAGGTAACATATGACATGAGCCATTCAAATTCTCCACATGCCTCTCTCATGCACCATGTCAAGCCACATCTGTGTACAACATGATGTACATAAACCCAGTGAGGAGCAAAGGAAGAACATACAAAGACATCCCCTTTTGCCCACCTTCAAAGCTGCTTTCTGACCCCTCTTCAATTATGGTCTCTAGTTTTGTCAAAACCCTAGAAGATTTTCTTGAAAGGGCTGCAGGTGCAACCTCTCCCCAATTTTGCATGCTTTTGAACCTCTTCCCCATTATCTCTCCAAAAAGAATGCTTTTGAAGATCCTTCCTAGTTCCTTATTCTTCTTGATTCTAGGAGGCGGAGGAGGAGGATGCAAGAAAGAGGAAGGAACTAGCAATGCAATGGTGTAGGGGGCCTTTGTTTTTAACTAGGAAAGCTATGGGCTAGAGGCATAGGTTTTATAGGGCTCAAAGATGATAGGGTCCCAAAAATAGGGTAAGGAGGAAAGGCCTTGGAAAGCTTTGTTAGGAATGCACACCAATCAGTTATGCAAAGTAAACCCATATTTGAACATGTCTAAAAACTAAATTTTGCATGAAGGTTGTTTTTAGCTGAAAGGATGCAAAATCCTCATAAAAATAGGATAAAAATTCATCTTATTTGCTGCTTTATATATCCTATTCCTATTTTGTTATATTTATATATATAAATAGACATCGGCATAATTGTGCATGGATCAGATAAGATAAGACATTAAGAATTGAATTGAGTCCCAAGATAGTAAAAGGAAAAACAAAATGAAGAAAATGAATCCAGACCTAAACCCAATCTCATCCTAGCTAGTGACTGGGACTGATTTAGGACGCCTACAGCTCAAACTGACAGTGATTGAAATTTATCAAGCACGAAGATTGCTTTAGATTATTGAAAATAGAAACCAAGCTCCATTCACCCCCATTTGAATACAAAGTTTCATCCAAACTAATTTTTCATCTTATAGTACAAGAATACAGAGAAAACCAGTCATCAATGACTGAACAAATTCTGTAGCATGTACAACATGTAACTAGCTCGAATGCTGTTTTTCTTCTATATTACACAAAAAAGAACCCCTTTCTCTTTTGCAAGTACATTTTGAAATCGCTCGACATTTTGATAATTCACGTGTAGGTGTTGAGGTCACATTAAATCCACAGATTCAAACTATTCATAAAGTATCATCACATCTTCTGCTGGAAACGCTTTGCTTGTTCCAAGGCAGATAAGGTATTTCCCTATAGGGCCTGCAAACATAAACAAATCAAATAATGCAACAGACAAAGACAGCATTAAAGTCTAAGAAACAGATTAGAAGATCTAGCCATTTAGCTTATCAGGGAAAGAATTAAGGCATGAAAAACAAATATGAATTGAGGAACTGACCAAATCAGTATTGAAACCAGTGACAGGGAAAATTTGGGAAGGCAACCCAGTTACGGCAATTAAAGAGTTCTAGAAAACAAAGCACTTTATCAGCAAAATCGAAGACTAAAGTCAGTAATATTTGGAGGTAATTTACCAAAAATAAAAATAAATAAAAATATAGTACTATATGGGGTTTACATGTCAGATGTAGCAACAATGAAAGTACGCAGAAGATGGAGAAGTCAAGCATGATATATCACATTTACCTTGGATTTTTCATATGTAGCAACAAGAAGACAACAGAGATGAATATGGAAGTCGAACCAACAAAAGTATAGGCAAGCCCAAGGAAGTCATTCTTTCCTCCTAACCAGCTTGATGTTGAAAGGACAATCTTCTTTTTCCCACCAAAACTGTAAGTATTGTAGTTGTTCGTTAGATTGACTACTAGAACATCATCTGCATCCAAATCCTCTTCAATTCTACCATACAGCTTCCGGAAACTGGGGAGTGCAGCTGTCCGCATCCATACAATAAGATCTTCTTGATCGCTTAGCTAATTAAATAAAGAAAAATTACAGTTCATGAAAACTCCAGAAAAATTGTACTTTCGTAAGAACTTAGTTTTACTCCAAGGAAATTATAGAAAATTTGTAGCAGTAGACAAGGGAGGTTTTTTATTTTTATTTTAACAGCATCCTTTGCAAATGGCCCAGTTGGCCAGGTGAGACCCCCCCCGAAAGAAGAGCCTGATAAAAATTTTAAATATATTTCTAGAAACATATGCATATATATATATATATATATCACATATTATGGAGGTATAGGCACTGATTTTTGGGACTGGAAACATGGTATAACTTCTTTGACTTTGGTTATAGACGCAAAATGGAGGCATTCTAATGTGTTTTGATATGCAACCATTTATTATCATTTTAATATCTCAATTAAAAAACGAAAAATGGAAGGTATATTTTTCACTAGACAGTACAAATCTTGGGCGGCAACTTCAGGTGGAGTACTTGCATAAAGGTACCGTGCCGTGAACTATAAATGGTGGCATCATATCCAAAGGTATAGTTGCACAGAGAGCAAATTAATAGATTGTTATACAGCTCTAGTACTTACAGGAATTCTTGGATCTAGCTTTCCACCACCGATCAAGGTCCCATTCTGGAAATTAAAGGGATATACATGCTTCCCAAATTTGTGATCACGGTCACTCTTCCATGCTATGTTCTTCCTGTTGACTTTTAATTCAGTTCTTCCACGAATAAAAGTATAGGTATCATTAAACAAACTCCACGCTATCAAGCCACAAGGAACAGTTGGAAGACCATTCTTGGACTCCTCAGGTTTACAGGAGCTTGTGTCATTGTACCCCAATCCATGTAAAAGCTGCTGATCACTTCTACTTTTGACATACCTGAAAAATTGGGAATCAGCTTAGTAAAACTGTAAGGCTGGAGATCAAAACAAGTAACATCAAAGTTAAGTTTTCTTGATTAATAGAATAAGGAACAATACTTAGTAAACATTTGGCTTTACAGAATTTTCATGACGAACAAAAATAAAAAGAAAAAAGAAGAGAAAGGATCTTCAGGTATAAATCTTGTTATTTCAAAATCAGCACAACAAAGACAATATTGACCTTCTCCAAGTTTCCCTTTGAAAAGTTCACCAAAAAACAAAAAAATTAGAACAAAAAATTTCTCCAAAATAATTTCCATTGGAGTAGCAAGATATTTAATCTTGTAAATTATACCTATAATACTAACGATCCATATAGATCAGTAAATTTGAACATGTTATTACAACGGTTCAAGGACAGTGTAAGGTTTTACACCTAAATTTCTTTTTCCCCCACTGTGATATATCTTCAGGAAAGATTTTTCATAACGGTAAAGACGGAGCCAAAAGGATCTACAAAATAAAGATGTATGATGACAGAAGTATGAAGGCCAGGTGCACTACATATTATCCTGCAGTAGTTGTTTGAAAGAATTCAAAGCACTATAAGCTTATCATGAAGAATCTCATAGAAGAAGGCAACTGTTGGCAATAAAGAAACCAAGTCATTTCAGAATAATGGAATAAAGAAAAACATGAAGGAAAAAAAAAAGGCAGGAAGAAAGATAAATCAGAACAAGTGATGGATTCCTTGCTATGCCAAAAATAAAGACACAAGAGCTCTCACCGTCGGTGGTTTTGATAGTAGTTATCAAGCTGATAGTAGATATAAATTGGAGCTTTCATATGCTTGTAAACCTTCAAAGAGAGACCAATATGTAAAAAAATTTGAAAAAAAAAGTAAATGAAAAACAACATTATTGAATAAAACCAACGCAGTCAAACCAATGCATGATAAGGTTCAAATAAAGAGTATTTAATAAACAAATGTTCCTAAAGTGAATACATACACAGACCAATCTGTGAAGCTTTTGGTTTATTGGAAACTACACAAACTACTGGAATCAGAGCCTCTGAATTTAGGAAAATATTTGGGAAGGCATGTGCCAAGACCCCAGGGAATAGCTTATAAAACAGTGCAATAATTCCAATTTATTATAGAAGAATTCAAAGTCAACACAATTGAATAAGCAGCCGTAGGTTTTGTAGCATATTAAGATTTAACCAATCTTAAAAGAAACTTGAATAATGAAACTACAACAGCTTAGCAGAAATGCATCAGTTTCTTACATCATGGGATATTGGATAATAAAAATAATAAAAAAAGTTTGCCCACTCACCAGGTAGCAAGCAATTATTGCATTAATTCTCTCCTTTTCTATATTTGATTTCTTAAAAATGCTTACCACCAGCTCCTCATCTACGGTTCTACTACACAATGTTATTTTATGGCCTTGCCTCTTTAAACAACCCTAACAGATCAAGCTCCGTAGAATCAATTATTGATGATGATGATGATAAACATTATCTAGATTAATGGACAATATGTAGTTTCATATTCTGTGACAACCTTAAATGAAGCAGACAAGATATCCAATCAACAAGTCGCAAGGAATGTCATAGTTAAAGTTCTAGACAAGAACAAAGAAAAGATTACCTTCAAGTACCGAGAACAGTTTTTAGAGATTAAGTTATCTTTGATGTAGGCCACCTTATTGCTCTTGAATGCCTCCGGGACACACTCTGTATCATATTGGTCCACAATTTCTACAACCTATGAATCCAATGTCAAACAAATGGTTACACACAGATTCATGTTCCACTATAAATATGGGTGCAGCTGAAAACAAGAACCAATGAACAACAGAGACAAGATATTACGTTCTGGGAGGCATGAAGTGTAATAAGCCCAACTGGTATGAAAATGGCACCAACCAATAAAAATGTAGTAATCACCTGCAGAGAAGATAGTCCATATCACTAAGCACATATACAAAGTGAATAAACATACTACAGAAGAAGTTGCTTATGATATTTAATAACTCACCCATGCTGGTGTGAGGACAGGCTTACAAGCGGGGAGGCTCTGCTGTGTAAACTGATAGAAAGCTACAAAACCACCATAAACATAACCATTTTGTGTGAACAAGAATAAAGTGCAAAGTCTTCTTTCTTTTCAAATAAGACTCGTGCTAAAAGCAAATTAAGAATTGGCAGATTGTATGGCTCCATGCCATTAACGTTGAACAATTGTTCCAAATGTCAAAAAGGTCAAAGAAGGCATGCATAGATAAAATTAGATGAGTCACACATTTGCTTAAAGCATATGCATATGTGCAACCAGACTTTAAGGCCTTTTCGGGTTAGCCTCTTCCCAAAATCCATGACAACAATTTGATCTTAAACTGCATTCTACTTTCTCCTTCCCTACTTTCAATGATCATGCCTCTTCAAGCTTTTGAGTTAATTTCTCCTTCTTCATGTGGAATTTGATAACATATTCTTAGATTTAACTCTTATTGACAAAAGTACAAAGTCTTATCTTTTATGAACCTATTCCCTGGAAAAAAAAAAATAATCATCCGAGGCATTAGCCTCCTGCTGAACTGCTAGATTAATTTGACAAAAG